GTGGACTTCAACTCCCAGAATTCCCCAGCCAGCTTGCTGGCTGGGGAATTCTGGGAGGTGAAGTCCACCCATCCAAAGTTGCCCGGGTCAAAAAACAGTGGCTTAAAAGCTCTGTGGGAGGAGGCCACGGTATATTATTCAACAAGTAAATCCTCAAGTAGGTAGGTTAAGGGCCCTTTTTAGGCCAGGGAGTCTGTTTTTATGAAACGTGGTTTTCAATAAAAACAAACTCCCTAGCCTGGAAAGGGCGCTTCTGGAGCTGTTTCCCAGCCACCCGCCTGCGGGCCCAAAGGTCCCTTGTCGGAGACGTTTTTCCGGGGGGGGGGAGGTGGGGGGGGGGAGTAGCCAGGCGAGGCCTTAGACCAAGTCTTTCTCCAAACACGTAACTCGCTTCAAAAAAGCCGCATGATGGATGTGCTCGCCCTTGGCTGCTGGAACCTCCGTGTTCAAAAGCAGTGTACCAGGCGCTGAGGACCCGCCACCCTTTGCCGCTTTCTCTGTCCCGTTCCAACAAGAGAGCTTTTTTCCCTGCTCGAGACCAGCTTGAAGTGTAAACGTGGGCACGTCCTCCTGGCCGGGCGGGCTGCTCCTCTGCTTGCTTCTAGGTTATTTCGTCCACGACTCCCTCGACATCATCGTCTGCCACCAGTCCAGGGCCTCCTGGGAATACCTGGTCCACCATGCCGTGGCAAGTAGTGGGTGCTGTGGGGCAGGGCCCAGGGGCCCAGGATAGAGGCTGACCTGCTGCCTTAGGCCGAGCAGTTGGTAAACAGGGACACCCGCTACCCTTCGGCACGCAAGAGGTGCCTCAGGCAGCAGAGCGATCCACGCCCTGTGGGAAGCCTGCAAGGGGCAGCCGGGCCACGCTCGCGGGCACAGGGTGCTCTGCTCAGGCATTTGCTTCCAGAAGCGGGGTGGGGCTCCAAACGGGTTTCTGCAGCCACTCCTGGCTTCTCCCGAGATCGCTGCGATCGCAGAAGGGAGGCCCCCGGGCTGAGCTGAAAGACCACCCGCCCCTTTTATGCTCCCACTCCCACAAGTGCCGGCATCCAGAATCAGGCACGCCGGAGTAGGAAAGCGGAGGGGGGCCGACCCAGGGAGTTTGTCTTCCTGCCCCCATGAGAGCCCCCGAGATGCGAGAGAGGCTCTCGAGGGCCTGAAGTAGCTTGAAATGTGCCAGCGACGGAGCAGGCGTGTCCTCCGCTCTCCAGAGGACACGTTGGGAGCCAGGGGCCGGAATGGCAGGGAAGCCGATCTGGGCTGAAGGTTAGGACAGCCCCAAAGGGGTGGTGGTCTTCCCTTTCCTGGAAGGGTTCGAGCAAAGGCTGGACGGGGCGAGGGGACTCTGGCCCCGGGATTTGCAGGGGTCAGGCCTGGCGGATTTAGAGGCGGTCGTAGGGTTTTGCGCCTCTCCGGTGCCGGACGGTGGCTGCTTCTGACCCCCTGCTTGGTCTTCCCCTCGCAGGCCGTGTCGGGTTTACTTTCCGGGGTCTTCCTGAACCGCTTTGTGGCGGCAGGGCTGCTCTCCATGTTCGTGGAGGTGAGCAACATTTTCCTGACCATGCGGATGATGGTCCGCCTGGGGAACCTGCCTTTCCAGACCTTTTACACGGTCAACAAGTACCTCAACCTGGTGGCGTACTTCCTCTTCCGCCTGGCCCCCCAGGCGTATCTGACTTGGTTCTTCGTGCGCCACGTGGAGGTGCGCGGCCAGGGGGCCTTCCTCACGGTCAACCTGATGCTGCTGAACGCCATGATCCTGATTTACTTCTCGCGCCTGCTGCGCTCCGACTTCTGCCCGGGCACCCAGGCACCAGGCTCCGACAGCGAGAAGAAGTTCCTGATCGACTGAAGAGCCAAGTCCCCGGCAGTGGAAAGGGGAGAAGGGGGACCCAAAGAACACGGCCACACAGCCCGGAAGACCCACACCAGCGACCCAAAGAACCTTTGTCCGGCTGCGTCGCCGCCCATGTGCCTTAACTGCTGAGGACTCGCGCCTCCACCCGGAGCCCCTTCGCCCTCGAAGGAGGCCAGACAGACCAGGGAGTTGGTCCACAGCTCAGCCTGGGGCTCTGCCCGGGCCTTCCATCCAGGACAGTGTTTCTCCGCCTTGGCCACTTTAAGACCTGTGGACTTCAACTCCCAGAATTCCCCAGCCAGCCTTGCTGG